ACCTCAGTCCCAAAGAGAAAGGGTTCAACAAAGGCAAGGGAAGCTGCCCAAATCTGTTAGCCAGGCTCGGGTGTGTGGGAGTGCTGGTATATAAGTGAGACGCCAGGACGCTGCTTAGGAACAGGGCCCTCTTGGCCTTCTTAGCCAGCCAATTTGCCACCCCTCCAAGCAGCAGATGCTCACTGATGCTTTCCCCTCCTCAGGCCTGAAACTCTGTTGTGGACGGCAAGCGTGGCAAAGGCCGGGGGATGGGGATGGAGAGCGAAGAGGCTCTGCATTACAGACATTCTCACGAGAGCAGATCTTTCTTGGCTCTCCGCAAAAGGAAAGAAGGTGGGGAAGGAGGGAAGACAAATGAAATTCAGTATCTTTAATCCCTCACCCTTCCAAACTATTAGGGTTTGTTGTTACAGGCGTTTTCCTCAGCACAGCCGAATGGAAACTCTGCTGCTTTCCTAGCTGTGGACAAGCTGAAATATGAGAGAGAAAGACAGACCCTGTGTGTGAGAAAGGGGGGGAAAAAAAAAGAAAAAAAGAGAAGCCCTTCACGCCCTTTCCACCAGAGCTAATGCATTTTGCAGGTGCCGTTCTCCAACATCCAGTCAATACAATGTTCCCCACACAACTAGGCTGTAGGTAGAGGCTCTTTCCATGGAGCAGCAAAGGAAGAGAGGAGCTGGGGTGTCAGAGCCTGTATGGCAGCAGATCCATTAATAAGCATAATAATAGCCAAAAGGGCACAGCATCTCATAGCAAGAGGGTTTTGGAAGCTGGCCTTTGTATCCCACCATTTTTCTTCCAGCCAAAGGCAAGAATGTTCCACCTAAAAAGCCACACTGGAAAAAATCTACAACTATTCGGATACATCACCGAGAGGATCCACTTGGTGTTGCAACTCTAGACACGACATCCCACTAATCTCGCTTCCTATTGATCCATAAAACTGTCTGCCAAGTGCCTTTGGAAAAGATTTATAACAAAGCATGAAGCCCCGCGTTGGACACTCTTGCTTCAGTCCCCAGCATCACAACCATCCTTTTGTCAGTGCTGCTGGCAAACTCAGAGAGAAAAAAGAGCCGAGAGCAGGCAAGAGGTGCTGTGGGAGAATGGGCGGTAAGAGGAAGACTTCTCAGCCAGGCGCTCTCATACTTCCAGGTCAAAAGCCTCTTCAGCTCATGTCACGCTGGATGCCCTGAAGCCAAAGTCCTGCTACCATAAGCATGCTTAGCATTTATTCTGGCCTGTATTCCATATATGAAGCTTCAGCGACCCCCATTTCTGGTTACCCAAGCTCCTGGCTCTGCTTAATGTATATGTGCTTTAAAGCAACTTAGAGATGGACAAGCATCAAGCAGCCCCATTTATGGGGAAACTGAGGCAGGGGTGGGCAAGTGAGTTGGGTCTCACTGCAGCCTTGAGTCAAGTCCTTTCCCTCGGGCCAGCGACTGATCTGTCCTCTACAGGGAGGCGAGGTCCATGTGCCAAAGGATGCTCTTTCCATCCTGCTCAGAGAATCGTTCCCCAAGGCTGCTGGGCGTCAGCACGGTGCAATAAGCACAAATTAAAAATATAGCCTGTCTCCTCTGCGGCATCAGACATGGGTGCCAACAGAGGCAGGGGCTGGGGCTGGGGTGGTCCATTATCTGGCTGGTAGGGCAGGAACCTCAGAGGGTTGTAACTTGCCCTTCTGTCCCCAGCCTTGAAAGAGCTTATGGGAATCCCACCAGACTATCAGGCTGACTCTCAGCATCAGCTGGAGGACGCAGGGGCCCATAGTTTCACCCCTCTCCCCCCTCCCAGTCTAGTTGCCAAACAGAGCCACAGAAAGAACCAAAAATCTTTGTGGAAGAAGTGCGAAGCCTTCCTCATCATTACAGCGCTCTATCGCATCAGAGCAGCAGGGAAGCTTATAGCACATACCCTTCTTACAAGAGCCACAAAGCTACAGGTATTTAGGGCCGTGAACCCTACCGATGTCAGCAGTGGCCAAGGGCAGAATCCTTCTCTTGTCTTTCCCGGGAAGCGACGGGTCTTTTCTCTCCCTGAGCCAACATCACCTTTAGCAAAATCAGCAGCGTGCCAGCAGGGGTTCATTGGATAACCCCCTCTGTATTTCTACAAGAAGATTTACTCCAAGAAATATTTCTATAACTGGAAGCAAGGGGGGGGGGGGAAGGACCCAGGAAAGAGCCCTAAATCGGGACCTTTGTGCACATAATGAAAAGCCCAGGGGGCGAAGAGATGGCATTCAAGAGGTCTGATGAACTGCGCCAGCTGTGTTAACCAGGAAGATGGCTTGGAGGTTTTAAACTGCCCCTCGCTCCTGAAGGTCAGCGACTTCCTTTCCCGTGTCCCCGCTCTGTATCCGCCGGCGAGTGCGTTCCTGCGCGCACCGCGCCTTGTGATGGGGTGCAGATGGGATGGTGTTCTGCTCCAGATGAGAAAAATCTGGTTGTATTTTCGGTTGCGACTGTAGTAGCCTTGGTTACTATTTCATGAGCAGTTAAACACTGCCTCCGATGTTTAACCAAGCCTCAGAACTACTGTAACTCGACTGCTGCTGGTGGCTGCGTTTCAAATGCTGGCTCTTTCAGAGCACAGAAAGCAGCTAGCCCTGCGCTGGGGGCAAACCTGCGTGCAACGTCTGGGCAGAGGAAGAGAGGCTAGGGACTGGCTCCGAGCTGCCAAATATGACAGAGATGGCAATCCAGCCCCGTGGTTCCGGGGGCTCCCAACACAAGGCTGGGCACGGAGCTCTTGTTGGGGTGGTCAAGGTGCTGACAAAAGATCACCGAGATGCTTGGAAATCAAATTGCCATAATTCCCCCTGCAAAAAAACCCGTTTAAAAGACTATTTGAAAGGGAACATCAAAACGCCGCTGGAAAGAGCAACCGTGAACTGCTGCCAAAAGCCAGGGGTAGAAAAAGCCTCGATTTCACTAAGGTGTGAATATCTTTTGACACTTCTAGGGCCGACTGCTTATAAACCAAACAAACCAACCCCCCAGTCTCCACAGCAATCCTCATTCACACTTTGAAATACTGAATTTCATATGAATGGAACATATGAATCATCGCAAGGCATTTCAGTGCATGGCGGTGCAAAGCAAGGCTGAAAACACCACCTCGGCTTATTACGATCTGGCTTTACAGAGCCTGCAACAAAGGCATGACAGGAAACGAATGTCTCTACAGAGTGAAACTTTTTCCCTCTCTCGATTTTTCTTCTAAGGGGCAAGTCAGCTGTTGTAGTCGCGCTGAGAGCTCAGCACGGCTACCGTGACATCAAACTGCGTCCCCCCTCCACCTACTTATGGCTCAAAGCGAATGCCATGGCTGCAGCATCACACGTTTTCCAGGAAATCGAGGCGCTCTTGACAGCTCTAGGATTCAACGCTGAACATGCTTGGCAGGTTGCAAGCCATGCAGACCCCACTTTTTGGGCAAACTGTGCTTCGGAGTGGATTATATGAAAGAAGCCAGTGCTTGGTATACACTGTGCACTTGGTATACACTTGGTATACACTGTACACTTTCAGTCTTCTCTGGACTTTTATACAAATAAACACAAAGAGAAAGGTTTTGATGAAACTACTTTTCCAAGCCTGGCTGCCCAAATTGCTCTCTTCAAGAAACTATCCTATTTTCTAGGGGATATATATATATTTTTTATTTCCTGTGCTCCAGGGCAAAAGTTTGTGGAAATCACCGGTTTCTTAATCTCACTACAAATTCTAGCGGTAACACTTCCCCAAACATCACAGACTTCGCGTCAGGGAGAGGTTTGCTATTGCAACTTCAGGAGCAGCATGGGGGGG